AATTCGCGGTTATAGAATCTCGGAAGAGGTCACTATAAAGGACAAGCCGGCCCCGAAGGTCCCTGTCCCCGCGCCTACGAAGACAACGGCTTTGAAACCCGTTGAACAAAGTGGAATGGTAAGGAGAAATCCCTTCGCCCAATCTGCAAGTAGACTTGATCGATACGATGTTGACGGATGGCATCCCCAGGGATCCCACCGCCATTAAGGTGGTTAACTACGTCCATAAGACGGTTTAGCCCGCCTGATTATAAGTCCGTTTTACCTCACTGGAGGCGAATCATTAGGTTGGTTCGGACGGCAGCTTCAGGTATGATGGAGACGACACCAATCGTTACATCATCATGTATCAGTCACTACTACCCATCTCTGGTAAGAGAACAGCTCGGCCATGGAGTGAAATCCTGACCCTAGCCTAACCCTAACCCGAACCCTAACCCTGACCCGAACCCTAACCCGAACCCCTAACCCTAACCGGCTAGTGTGGCTAGGCGGTGTGGCGCTGTGGCGTTGTGGCGCAGTCACGTGAGTGGCTGAGCTGTGGCACTGTGGCGGCGTGGCGGTGGCGTGTGGCGGTGGCTCATGGGCACGTGATGGCATCACGTGGTGGCTGGTACATGGGGCTGAAATCTCTTGGCGCGCCACTTCCGTAATAGGAAGGTCGTACCCACTTTCCGAAATAGGAAATTTTCCGTAATAGGAAATATTTCCGTTTTAGGTAAGTGTCCCGATTTGGAAGTTGTCTAGACTAATCCGGTACACACCTCGGCTATGCACGGATAAGCTCGTACATATGCGCATGCAGGCATGCATGCGCGTTGTCCTAGTAGGGATGATCCTAGTACGCGCATATGCGGAACGATGACTACCTATTCTGGCAAGCCTTCCGGTTCCGGCTTACTTGCAGGATGCATGCATGACGGCACGCACACCGATAAATCGGTGTGCCACACCTCGCTTGGAATACGAGGTCGCCGACGCACAACTATTTGCCTCACACCCTCCCACGAGCGGCGAGCGCAAATTTTCGCATCACACCACTAGCGATTTAACGACTTTACTGCGTTTCTCGCGACGGGCGCTCAGGGTCAAACCCACGCCCCCGTCTTCCACACCCGATGGACTTTCATCCACCATCATCTACGGGGAAAGGTATAAGTATCACCCTTCTCCCCCCGTCCTGACGAGTTGATCATAGGTCAACGAAACAAACGATCAATCTCTTTTGATTATTGTCGACACTTTGTTTCACGATTACAACAACTCTCACGTCCTCTTCCCATCAGCACAGCTGTCCGCCCGGCAAGAGAATCGCCTCGCTCGCTTCGCTCGCTCGGCTCACCCTAACCCTAACCCTAACCCTAACCCTAACCCTAACCCTAACCGGCTAGTGTGGCTAGGCGGTGTGACACTGTGGCGTTGTGGCGCAGTCACGTGAGTGGCTGAGCTATGGCGTTGTGGCAGTGTGGCGGTAGCGTGTGGCGGTGGCTCATGGGCACGTGATGGCGTCACGTGGTGGCTGGTACATGGGGCTGGAATCTCTTGGCGCGCCACTTCCGTAATAGGAACGTCGTACCCACCTACCGAATTAGGAAATTTTCCGTAATAGGAAATATTTCCGCTTCAGGTAAGTGTCCCGATTTGGAAGTTGTCTAGACTAATCCGGTACACACCTCGGCTATGCACGGATGAGCTCGTGCATATGCGCATGCAGGCATGCATGCCCGTTGCCCTAGTAGGGATGATCCTAGTACGCACATATGCGGAACGATGACTACCTATTTTGGCAAGCCTTCCGGTTCCGGCTTACTTGCAGGATGCATGCATGACGGCATGCACACCGATAAATCCGTGTGCCACACCTCGCTTGGAATACGAGGTCGCCGACGCACAACTAATTGCCTCACACCCTCTTATCGAGCGGCGACGCAATTTTTCGCATCACACCACCAGCGATTTTACGACTTAATTACGTATCTCGCGACGAGCGCTCAGGGTCAAACACACGCCCTCGCCTTCTACACCCGATGGACTTTCATCCGCCATCATCTACAGGGAAAGGTATAAGTATCACCCTTCTCCCCCCGTCCTGACGAGTTGATCATAGGTCAACGAAACAAACGATCAATCTCCTTTGATTATTGTCGACACTTTGTTTCTCACGTTACCACAACTCTCACGTCCCCTTCCCATCAGCACAGCTGTCCGCCCGGCAAGTTAAGTGCCTCGCTCGCTTCGCTCGCTCGGCACTCCCTAACTTCTAACCGACTGCCGAAAAGGAAAAGTACAAATAAGTAATAGTTGATAAAGTATTTATAGTAAGTGAAATAAGGTAAAGTATTGGTGTACTAACTTCCCACATGGAGTGCAAGAAGTAAGAAAAGTACTTAGAATATATCATGAAGAACCTATCCTTCTTGGCCATACCAGCCTCCTTATATAGTGTTCTTCCTCCACATAATCATGTGACCCAAAGTGGTCACCTGCTTAATACCAAATCATAACAAACAGGTCATATGACCAAACTAGTCACATGCTTGAAACCCATGACCTTGTAGCAAGGTCATGTGCGAAAACTCATAAACTAATCATAACACAATAAACAAATCATATGACTCAAATGAGTCACATGTGCAAAACCCATAACCTCACAACAAAGTCATGTACTAAATATAAATCATATGTACAAGGCATACCCACAAGGCATACTCACCAGGTGCATGTCTCATGACTTATATTCGAGTCATGTGCAAAACCTATCAAACCATAGCATCATGTAACTCAAATGTGACATATATGCAAAACAATAACATACCTATGACTCATAATTATGTGTAATCTGAAAACCTTTTCCATACCAAGCCACATTCGTGACACTTAGCTTCAATTTCCACCAATATGCAACTGAAATCTGCCAGCCATACCTCATCCCTTTTATAGAAAGTCTGGATAGGCCTTCTGACAACATCTACCTAGCTGCAGACAATGCCTCCTGGCATGGTAGTAAGGAAAATCGAAAATTAGAGGCTGACTGTGGTTACACAAAACTCCCTTGGCCACCCAACTTACCAGATCTCAACCCTATTGAGAACACCAGTGCACTACTCAAAAGAGCCCTCACCAAGCGATTCTCCAAACTAGAGAGAAGGCCTTACAGTACTGCTAAATTGTTTGCGGCAGCAAAGCAGGAGTGGGGATTAATTCCTCAAGAGAAGTTGGATGGATAGATAGATAGAATGCCTGAGAGAATGTTGGCTGTACTGGATGCAGATGGAGACCATGAAAAATGGTAATAATGTTTTTCTATCATCTACTAGCTATACTATTACCTTTTGTTTAATTGAATTCTCTACTTTTTTTTTGAATTTTTTGTGGTTGGCTGTCATCGTAGTGCCGTTGCCGGGCAGGGGTGCTAAGACTTTCCGGACACGACTGTACTTGTACTGTACTCGTACACTACAGCTCTAGCAGTCCCCGATACAACTACCGATCTAATACTCTCGCCAGCTGGTTCGGCCGGTCAGGGGAAACAGGCCCTGGACGGCATGAAAGTCAAGCTTCAACCAGCTACCGAGTTCCGAGCCTTTCCTTCTTTCCTAGAATACCTACCATTTCTTACAATAATCTCTTTTGTCGAAATTCCATTTTCCCAACCAGGGTCGTTTGCCCGCCCACTCCCGTGAGTAACCTAAGGCACATGCAGAAACCAACGGAATTCGCTCAGTTCAGGGCAATCCCCTCATACCGGTAGTCGCCCTTGAAGCGAAAAAGTAAGGCTACGGTGTGTCGTACGAGAGTCTTTTATCCCAATCAAGCGCGGTAATGATTGTGACCAGGACCGCTAAAATGTGGTTAGGGAGGAGCAGTTACTCTCTTCTAGATGCTGCCCCGGTGGAGAAAGCGGAACCTTGATTATTGAGACGGGCAAGGCGGACAACGGCTAACATTATCCTGCAACCATGTGAATATCGTTCTGGACCATTCCCTCGCCTGTTGAAGAGCCGCCCCCACCCAAGTCTTTTTTCTTCTTCTTCCCTCTTTTGAGATTTGTCGTGAAGGATATGCCCGAAGCTGTGGGATGCGGTCATGTCGTGACAAATTTCCGGAAAGGCTCTCCAGCACGCCCCGTACTCCCGCGAAGTTCTCGCTTAGCAGCTGACTATGACTTAAATCACATACCGGTACCCCATACTCTATTCCCCTCGAGCTTGACCCGTCAGACCTCCATCACCCTCGTTACTTTCGGAAAGTCATACCGTGTTATGAGTGACATATAAATGAACTTGCCGGCAACTCTATTCGCGCAGCAGCGATCTGGAAGATGCATAAATATGGGAAGGTCCCCTAAATTCCAAGGAATATATATAGATACCACGTACAATGCACTCTCAACTCATCCTCCATCTCCCACGGTACATTACAGCTCACGGAAATCCTTTCCGTAGTTTGTTGTCTTACAGGGAGGCCCCTTGCCCTGTGCGGCCCGGGTGACACACCAATTCTCATATCATATCATATCCAGAAAGTCAAATCATTGCCGCCCTTGCTCCCAAACCTTATGCCATGCAGATTCACATCTTTACGCACACACGCACACCAGGGCCACGGGAACGGGACCTGTTCCCCCAACCAGTTATCCATGCCGATCCTAACCGGCCCTTGTACTCGTACTGTACATAGACTAATCAATGTTATCTTAACCACCCCTAAGGTTTCCTAATCATCGTGTGGTGTGTATGACAGCCTTACAAGCTACTCTACTGCGCGACACCTTTGCGCAGCCATTACTCCAGTGCACTACATCCACCGAACTTGGACGCATCCGGCGGGATGGTAAAATAGTACTCCAATACACACCTTGCCTTAATCCCTACATCATGCAACCGCGTACTATTCACATGATATTGAGGCTGCAAGAATTGCGGAAAAGCGGCGAAGCTGAAAACACACTTCCCCACTTACGAACACACACAGTTAACAAAGAGCCCCAAAACACTCGGTGTTTCGTAAAACACGATTTCTCGATTGACTGAGATATATAAACTTCCGACCCCACATCGCTTGAATAAAAGCACAAATCATATTTTGTCACTCGTTGTCTCAAAGAGCCCCCCGCCCCCAACGCCGCAATCCTGCACAACGAGGTGCTTGGCTTTGGGCCGTGTAGGAGCGTAGCTAGTACACTATCAATGGCAGGTGTGCCCCCCTAAAGGTGTGTAAGTGAAACTAAATTTTGAATATCGAGGGCGGGACCAAGCAAACCGTCAACCACATAATCCGCCCCGGTCACGTAGGAACTCGCTCCACTTGCCAGAAATACGTATACACCTTTGAGTTCCCACACTTTACATAACCGCCCCGCCGGGCAATCCACCATCCAGGCCTTTATGAGCTCGGGTTTCTCATTTACAAGCTCAGTTGTCCTGCGCCGTGGTGTTGCGGGTTAGAAATATGCAATGCCGTGGATTACCTCTCCAAAGAAAATGGAATCGGCCTGGGCCACCCACATTTCCGTGTCAATGTAACCAGGGCTGATTGCATTGACCTGAATATTCCATTGGGCGAACTCTACGGCGAGTGCTCGAGTCAAATGGCATACAGCTGCCTTGGTGGCACAATACTACTTCCCGGTTAGCCGGTCTATCAGCCAGAAGAATCTGTACGGGTATTCGGGGAGGCGGGAAATACAATTGATTCGTACTGGGGTCGAAGAACCATATGTCCACTATCATGTGATTAGCCACATTTTGGGTGCTGACATTCGAGCGGGTTTCGGAAGGTTACTTTATGGAGGCTGTCATGATTATCTTCCCTCCGCCATTTTCCTTGAAGACCCTGCGGTGTGTGGTGTTTTAGCCAAGAACAAATTCACACTCGAGTTGTGCGCATTGAAGAAGAAAAAAGAACAGATGACCCTCTCCGCTATGCTACTTTTTTTTATTTTTTATCTTTCGCTCCCATCACTTTCTCCTCCCCTTTCCACTGCTGAATCTATCTCAACTTACCTTGCAGCGGCCTGGGCGGTGTAGAGGGGGCCAAAGTAGTTAACCCCTGTAACATACTCTGCCTCCTCTGATGACATTTCCAACGTTGGAGTTTCTGTGTAAACCCCGGCATTGGCGACCACCACATCCAATCGACCGAAATCAGAGAAGGCTTGTTTCGTAGCCTCTTCTATATCTTTGGAGACGGCCACGTTCGCCCGATAGGTTCTGACGATCGTTTTCGGATGCTTTTGCTGAATTTCAGTCGCACGTTCGCTTGCCAGCCTTGCCGTTGCTTCGGAAGAGTGTATGATTGCGATTCCAGCAGCCCCGGCCTCCGCGTAGCCTTGACACACGGCAAGCCCAATTCCCCTAACCAGCTCGGCAACCACACCGTATATTCACTTTCGTGTTCGCAATCGCAGGTACTCGTTCACTCATAGGATGAGGTGGCAAGTAAGGGGGTGAGTAGGGTGAAGGGAGGGATCGGGGGGATGGGAAAAAAAAGAGAGGGATCATACCTGTTACCTCCGGTAACCAAACATACCTTGCCCTCGAGGGAGAAAAGTTGGGCCAGCGGTGTGCTCTCTGATGGAGCTGTGAGACTCATTCCGATTGCCGATAGGGAACTGATGATGAGGTGTCACTTTTGGTTGCGGGGTCTGAGCAATATATGTTCCCGTAGCGGGGAGCACCGCCGCTTTCCAACATGGTTTAAATTATTAAACTAGATCAACCTTATGGTGGAGGCTAAGACAAAAGAGCCCCTATCCACCGGGCTACATATTACCAACGTTCTGGACCATGGGTCTAGGATGTTTAGAAATGACGTCTGGTTGCATATTGTCAATTGGGTGTGGGGCGATAAAGGCGGGTAATTCGGATGGTGGTATGAAAAGGTAAAAAGGTGATAATGGCTATCTTTTCTTGTTGTCCTGCACGGTACCAGTAAGAGGGGCACAAGGCATCACAAGGAGAGAGTTATCTGATATAGGTACTACATGTGAAAACTACTTGGGCCAAAAAGGAAAGTGAAAGAGCGAGGGAAAGCAAAATGGTGTTGAAAAAAGGTGGGCAAAAAGAGGGGTATGGTCTGGTATCTTTTGCATCCCTGTCCACCCAGGTACAGTGCATCACAAAACAAGCCGATTAAAATAAAAAACACAATTGAATCCGCTAAAGCAATTCCGAAAATAAAATAAAAACGAATCAATCGCTTGCACCCCCTTGCACATGCTATGCACATAACTTCATGTGACCAATTACTTCTTCGCAGGAATGGGTACTTCTGCCATAGAAGCCAGACGAAACATGTGTCTGTCCTTATCAGACCGCGCATCATAATCGACGGTTGCGGTGTCTAAGTCTAATGTTAGCCATTCAGCTCTCCAATCGGCCATCTGCTAAGCTGACTGCGGCTACCCACGACAAGTGCTACGGTTGTCAAATATGACAACGCTCTTTGGCTTCCACGAGAGCCTAACCTGGAAGTCATGTCCCTTGGTGATGTGGTCGATCAAAAAGTTCAGGAGGATGTCCGACTCGGGGTCCTTCCACCCGTCGATTCCACGGATAAACTCCCCGTTGACGAAAAGTGACTTTTCGCCCGTGACTGGGTGCACTCGGACAATTGGGTGAGAGGTGCGAATGGGATCCTTGCGACAAAGCCCTCCATTCGCCTTCGCAAAATTGCACATCTTCTCCGAAGAGTGCGTTGCCCTAAGATCCTCCAACATTGACTGAAAACCAGGGGATAAGCGGCTGTGGTGTCGCATTAACATATAAAATCGATACGGGGGCTGGTAGGGCATAGGTTAGAATTTCAAGGTGATTTAACTCACTTGTATGCCTCGGCGGTCGATGCAAAGACCGTATCGCCCCCGACTTCCGGTGCTTGCAGAATGCATAAAATCACATATCCGGGAGGCTGACGCTCGTAGCTAACATCCTGATGCCACAACGTAGAAGTCAATTTGTGCTCAAAGAACTTGTCAATCTCGGCCTGATTTCCGTCACGGTAAATAATATGAAATCCCGGGAATCCTGGAATGGACCCCGTCACTGGTTGGTAGTTGGGCTTTCCGAAGTATGAGGCGAAGTCCTGCTGATTGGATGGACCCCAGTCAGCAAAGTCCTGGTCCCGCAGAACGACGCACTTTCTTTCTGACACGAGGAGTGCCAACTCGTCTTTGGCAGCGTCTGACATCGATGAGAGCTGGACCCCGGAGAGCTCTGTGCCCATCTTGGGACTGATGTGCTTGACTTGAGCATCTTTCAAAAGGATTTTCTTCTCCTTGTCGGCGCGTAGCGCAGGGTCGAGGAAATCGAATTCCGGACATTGTGGAAAGAATACTGGCTCCCATTGGGGGAGGTATTGTGGATATTTGGAGACTTCCTCTTGCTTGTGTTCATCATTGTTTGAGGCTGGCTTGTACGGGAGATTGATATCATAGCTAGCTGCCTCTTCGGTAGGCTCGAGCGAGTGAGGTGCCATGCTGGTTCGGAAGTGGTGGACTTGATAGAATGGCGATAGTGAGTTTCTTGGAGGTATGATTGAATTTCGGGATAGGATTTTTTCTCTTGCACCGTGAAAGATAAAAGTGGATATGAGTTGATGTAGGGAAGGCCGATTCTTGTCGGGGGGAGTACCGTATTTATCTTCCATGGTCGAAATGATAGCGTTACAGTGCTGCCCAAAAATAAGGCTCGTTGGGCCCTGGGGTTGCAAAATCCTTGTCAATTCTTCTGCATCTCACATCAGGTATTCAAAAACCTTGAGTTGATTCGTAGTTGAAGTCTCATGTCTAGACTTACCCTTCACGGTCCCTGGCATGGAAAATCCATCTTGATTCTCAAACCTGATTCATGGGGGCAAGTCCTGTGACGAATGTTCCATTTTGAGGCTTCCTCGATGATCTTCATTGTGGACCCTTGTTTTCCAATTGAATTTGCGCATATATATGCCTCGCTTTTGCAGAACCGACCCTGGTTTCCAATCGTATTGTGCAGCCCGTGTATTGGCCAGTCTTACATCTCACACTAGCTAGAGATGTTAAGCTAAAAGTGGAAGGCGTGAGTCTGGCCTTTACCGGTCACTAGCTGCAACATCAAATTCCAGAAGGATAAGGTGAGCCCATGCATGTTTGAAATCAAGATGATTCCATTGCCATTTCGCCCTCTACTCGTGGTGGGGGCAATATAACATGCGATTCTACTCAATGCCCCCACTAATCCAAATATGCTTCGTTTGAACGGTAATACCGGCATTTGAGCCTCGAGAATTACTCTACAAATATTCAGATTTGGACCTTGCACAAGATCTCTGCACGCAAGAGCAAGGGTGAAAGGAGAAGTCGGGCTCTTATGCTCTGGTTTTGAATCGGACCTATGTAGATGCATACGATCCTAGGGCTTGGCGTGCCGTTACGGGATCAGATATGATACAACTCACTGAGCCATATGCCGGTGGTGTAGGTTAGCTACGATAGGACACCGGAACGTTGGAGGCGGCCCTGTACAACGTCAAATAGATTCCATTTTGTAACGATTATTACCGTAGAATAAGTGCCAACCCAGTGAGACACCAAGTGCAGGGTTGGTACATGCAACGCGAGCGACGGGATTTCTCGGGCACCACAAAACAAATTCACCTCACGAGCGGTAGTGATCATCTCCAACGGAACCCCGCTCACTGCACAAGAGCCTTCGAGAGAAGTTGCAATGAAGGCTAGGCGTTGATGCAAGCCGTGGTAGGAAGGAGATAGTTGGTCCCTGGCCAAATGTGGTTGTCCGAAGCGATATTTGCACAACCTTCAACTACTTTATAGCCCTAACTTACTGTACGACTCGGTACTGTACAGAGGGTTAGCCGTTCAGCCTCTTAACACTCCCAATAATCGTGGAAACGTTTATTATACAAGTACTATTTATGAGAGGAACTCGGGAGCCCACGGAATCCACCATTTGTTGGAGCTGCAAGGCAGCCCTTACAAATAGCGGCAAAACAGATAAACTACGGTATCTAAGCCCGCGATGATCGTTGGGGTTCATGTTGCCACCTCAACCACCACCGCAGTCTGTGGAGCAAAAAACTATAATAATATACAGTATGGGGGCTCAAACGATCGGCCCCGCCCACGACGGCATGGCAACTCAGATCGGCCCACCGGATTAGGATCACCCCATGTGACTTGTCTATTTCCATGCATAAGGGAGGAGAAAAATATATTCCCGGGTTGCACCTACTGCATCTCACGGCGAACCACCACGCTGTCCTGTGTTTCGAGGATGTAGCCAAGGTAGTGATCTCGTGGTAGGTTCTCCACCCAATTTGCTGATTAGTTGGTCGATTCGTTAGTCCGAGAACACTACCCGAGTACTGCACAGTACGACCCCAACTGCCGAAGACAAGTGACCCAGCACCGCTAGATTCCGAACGAACGGGACGCCGAGCACTTCCATTGTCGATCAATTGAGATCCGAGGATCATGATGCTTTCCGCATGGCGTTGACTTTTTTTTCATATTTCTCCGGGAATCGAGAGCAATGTTGTATGATAATTGAGATCGATAGGCGTGGTGGAAGTTTTCAATGATGGATGAAATGTCCCCTCTTCCCCTTCTCCACTGTCGCCTCCTCATCCTACTCCCCACAATAGTGCATGCTGTCGACCCCACATTTCCCATTGTTATTAGAGAATAGGGTCGATCCTTGGGACAAAAAACCCGGGAGTAGAAAATATGATATCCGCCACCAAGGACAGCAATTGGATGCCTTCTGGGTGCATAGATACCGGTGAGTTATCATAACACAGAATCAGACGGAAGTACCGAGCGGAATTGTATCAGACTCAAGTATACCCGTAAGCTTTGAATCGGCCTCCTAGACACAAGCGCCCTCTATGGCCCCCGAGCAGCACTTCCCTAAAATAGCGACCGGGAGCATAGAGTCTTATGCAAAAGCTACCACTCTTACCCAATTCGATCAACACTGGCATAGTATCCAGAAACTCGCCACTCCATAGCTCCGGTCAATGGAATAATGGACCAGGGAATCAATCATATTTCCTACTATAATTGAACGCGAAATACTCACTAAGCGGACAAGTTTCCGAAAAAATGGTGGTATTTAAGAAAAGATGACATCCGGGAACCTCCGCAGACAATCTTTCTAGATCTAGCTCACCGGTTAAGGACCTTTTGTTTGGAAATTGGTGGGGTGCGTTGGCAAATTCCGTTCCTCAGGATTCTTCACGAATCACAGATATCCATGGGCTAGGGCTTTAGCCGGTCGTCAGGTCACAACTCACAGTGGAAAAGGTTAATTTGACAATAAAAGGAAAGCAGAAAAACAAAAGAGAAGGAAAAACAAGGCTCCATCTCGCATCCTTACAACCAATTTGCCGCTAAAAGCCGTCAGGGATCTGCTTATCTCTCCCCTAAAGCACTCCATCAAGTCAGATGACGATCCGGTAACACATTATGCGATACATGCTCACGCCCTATCACTCGGGCAGCCAGAATTTGATTTGTTTGGCCGGGTACAACCCGGTAGAGCTAGCGCATGGAAAATTTTCCGTGCCTAGTGCTCGGTTACGCTCCATCTCCTTGGACACCGTGATCTTGGCGGTATTTCGTGTCGCAAGGTTATCCTTGCTCTGGGTGAACCAGCGATTGTGGGGTTGAAAACCAGCTTTGCGCTTCAAGCATAATCCCCGGGAGGTATCCGTGTTTCTTGCCTCTAACCGGCAAGCAATATGACAACAATAAGTGAGAGGCGCAATGGATGCCCACTTCAACGGCCGCCTCCAGAACCCTATTTCCCATTTCAGAAGCTAGGTGTTAATCACATTAGCTGGACTCATATAGGAGAGGTGGCGGGATATACGGAGCTAGTTTTTGATCTTGCAATGTTTTATCCCGAAGGTTGGCGGCAGATGGCGCCCGCGACAGGACGTTCATTAGGTGGCTCTAATCACTAGAGGGAGTAAATGAGATGATTGACCTCGTGGAAGCATCTGGAATGGGGGTGCCCTGGTCCTACTGGTCCCGCCTTGAGCATCTAAATTGTCATGCCACACTCGGCTGATATACGAGGTCATGCGTTAGTTGCGACCAGAGTGCATCACAAACAGCAGGCACCCGTTGATGGAAGCAAAGACAATGGGCTAATTTGGGCCTTTAGTCAATTCCATCCCTATGCGTTGACATGCTGTCTACCGGTATTGCTCCAACAGTAACGGGTGAAGCAAGCGCAACGGGCAATATGAGTACAGTACATACCAGCGAAACTTTTGACACAATTTGGACGCCTGGGGTTGTTCCCCTCCCCAAGACAGAACCCCCCAAAACACCCTGATTCCTACACGACATTACCCAAATCAGACCCCAGAACCTAGTTGCGCAAGAGACGAGGAGATTCTTGTAAACATTAAGGCTTCGAGTTGAGATTAATTCAGAATCTATTATCCGAGACAACCTATTCTAGCCAACCACAAAAACCACCAGTAATGTTCCCAAGGCCTGGCACCACCATCCCATACGTCGGAACAGGGCTAGTGTCGGCAATTCCTGAGGGACTAGCATTGCTTCCTTCCTTCCAACGCTTGGGCACTTTTCATCCCTCTCGTAATTTCTGTGAAAGACCGGTATATTAAAACTGAGGGAATATCAGTCACCGTGAAACAGTGTTGTGCGAAGCGCGCAACTGACAGGCGGGAATAATTATCCAGGGTGCATTAAACCCAACAAAGTAGAACCAAAAGTAATATGGCTCTGGGCGGCCTGTGCGTCCGTAAGTAGATGTCTCAGGTGAACAAAATAATGGAGAAAAATGGGGCACTCACTATGGCGATACCCCTCCTCCCAAGAGGTCACAAAGTATAGAAGACATCCGTATATGTGCGCGAAGCTCCCGAGCATCTGCAAGGCATGTCTGTTGCATCTATTTTTGGCTGTTGCTGCAGCGGCCAACAGGCAAACGGGACCCCAGAGAAACTTCATGTAAACTCCCACGCGAGTTAGATTCTGTGGATTAGAATGTGTCGAAGGCTGTCCACGTACTACCGTGATGCGCTCAATCGCGAGCACAAATGTATCCTCAAAAACATATCTGGAATCACTGATCGCGTATTCCTTCCAGAGCTGAGCTGGTAGGTCCATTCTTGAAGGGAGGGTTGCGTGGTGCACCAGAAAGTAGCCTCAACGTTGCATTTTTCCACAAGGTCAATTGACGAATCTGAGTTCCAGCATGGTGAACTCACCCTCGAACAAGACGTGCAATAGGCCACCTGAATGTAATGTGTAAGTAACGCGTGAACAAAGATGTTTAAGAGGGCAGACCTGCATATTAAGAACCAGCAAACGATAGCTTTGTCCATAACCGACAAGCTCCGCCGAAGAATGATCCAAGTGCTTCCAGCTGCTGTAACGATTAGACCGCCCATTACGGAACATAGCCCAAGCGCAGAAACATGATTCCGTACATAATGTGGCAGTAGCAGGTGCGAGGGGCTATACGGATGCATTACGGTGAAGGATCGGTGATGAGGAAGCTTGGTGGTAAACCTACGCTGTTGCTCTTGGTCCTGAACCATGGCCTTGGCATA